TCACATGGCTGTGTGTGCTTACAGAACAACTGACTGCCAGGCACACACTGAGGAAAGAATGAAGTTATTCTTTGTCCTTTTCTGACTTCTGCTCAGTCTGGGTGTTAATATGTCCACAGTGCTTGTCTGCTTCAATAAAAAACAAAAAAAGATAGTGAGGGACTGAATTAAAAAAAATATTTCATGTTTTGCAGATGAACTGATGAGTAAAGTATATTGCAAATATTGACTACAGCAGTAATGCTGTAAATAAGTTTGATATTGACGCTGTGTTCTACATGGGATGTCGCTAAAAAAACTAAATCTTGTTTTGCAGTCAAGCAATCAAAAGTCAAGCAAAATTTTAAAAAAATAGTTGAAAGTAGATCATGATATACTAAAGTCAGCATATCTCCAAAGGTCCAGTAGTGCTAACAGCTTGGTGACAGATATAATATGCTTTAGTTCTCAAAACTGTGATTCATTTGACACCCTCGTGTCGTAAATAAAACAGTGAGACACTCTTCTCACAGGAGCCTTTAAGATTAATTTTCACTTGAGATTTCAGAACCTTCATGATCACAATAGAGATGGTGAAGCAAAAGTTTAGGTATTCTTAAAGATGAGCTTGTTTGACCTAAACTGGCTGTGTGGAATGTTCGGAGGATCTGCTCTTTAGCTATCCCATAAATCCCCAGCTGTTTTCAGCAAAGGAGTGGCTCAAGCAAGCTGTTGGCTTGGAATGAAGGAGAGGGGATGTTGGGTATTTGCTGGGGAGGGCTGAATGTTACTGGATATCTTTGGGGCGTCTTTGTCATCAGTTTAGCCTGTCTAATGCTCATGTTGATTCATTCATGTGGGTTTCGATCATTTTGATTCGACATTTCCATCAGTTGACCTTTTTTACCCTGCTTGCTCCAATATTTTGTACCTTTTTTAATCAAATCATAGAACAAGCCCCAATAAAAATGTCTCCTTTTCCTGTGTTTGGAATAATAAAACTATTATTCTGTCTAGGATACATACTTTCCAAATTGATTTATTTTTCATATTTTTATTAGATTTAGAGCATATTGCAGAGAGCTCCATTATCTATATCTGCATAAACAGCTCATTCATGACTGGAAATTAAGAAAAACAATCATGATTAAAAAATTCTGAATATTTAAAACTTTTAGGACTGAAACTTCCTTTCCTCTAAAGTGTGAGCCTTTGAAAGAAGCCCTTTTCTAAAACATTGCTTCAGGAGGTCGATGTGTCAGGTACTTTGTAGTAGCACTGTACATCAGGGTACAGCAGGGTTCATCACTGTTCTACGCTTATTTTCCTGAACCCAATAGAAAAGCTCTCATCCTGCTGTGGGAGGAGGGGTAAGGACAACCCCCCACACCAATTAGGGTTTAGAAGTGGCATCCTACTGAAGATGAACAGGAGAAATGGAGAGAGTTGTCTGTTTTTCCAGTCCATCTGATGTCAAGCCCAGGACATTTCTATTTTATTTCCAGGCACCGATCTCCCTCCCACTTGACCATCACATTAGTCTGGCTTCACTTTCTGTGAAACCTGCTGTCAATCAGACCCTGACATCAGCAACACAAGTATATCACTGCTGGGCTGTCCTTGCAGCACACAGACTGCGTCCTATGAAGCACCTCATTTTACAGTCAAGACCTGCCTGAAAGCAAGGGAGGATCAATCTCCTTTTCATCTGTTTTATCTCTCTGTATTTTAAAAAGGGCTATAGCTATCAATCCCTCTCAAACACGTCATCTGTTTCTTAAAAACCACTGAGAGATGTGCAGCTCTGTATTTAAAACACACATTCTTCTGAAGCTGTACCCGTGTCACAAGAAAACATCTACAGCATAATTGCATGCAGATGGTATTGTGTGGTTTTGCCACAGGCACGCTGTTCTCTCTCTATTGTCTCTCAATTAAATTCTCTCACGGCAGACATTATCAAACAAGAGTCCTGCTTTGGCAGAAACCATACATCCACCTCCGCAGTTTTAAAATGCAATAAGAGCAGAAGCAAAGAAACCCTCTTCAGAAGCCTCTTTCCAGCACAGGAACTATCCGGGGAATTCAAGGCACTGCAAACACATTCCTGAGATAATTAGCGCAAGCAGGCATAGTCATCCTGTGTCAAGTTTGGGAACACGAGGAGCTCAAGCTAACACAGTTACCCGTCATCTTTCTTTGTTGAGACAGTGAACTTCTTCTGAGTCCACTGACATTACCCTTTATAAAGAGGCTGTGTATCACCACTTAAGCTATTCTCATTCACATGAATAATGGGCAATATATTTAGACTAAAATAAGCCCCTAAATCTTTTTTAAACCATGTATTTTTATATGTGTTGTGTTGACTTCATTTCCATGTCCAGGTGCTGCGCACCAAGTGGAGACATCAGTTGCATTTTACAGGAGTGTCCAACAACAGGCCAGCAGGGTGAGACTAGGCAACGAGTAGATGATGAGATCACTGTGCTCACACTCCCTCTTCTGACAAGCGTTTGTAACTACAAAGTTACTCCTACTATCAGCTCCTCAGATCACGGCAGCACCCATTAGAGCAGAAGACATCCTACAAGGCTGTCTTCAAATAGAAGGCTATTTGTCCCCTCTACCACGTGGGGTTGATTCAGGAGTACCTCATCTAGCCGTTTCCTGAAAGAAGTCAGGATATCGGCATCAACAGCATTACTGGGCAGCTTGTCCCATACGGCCACAAACCTTTGCGTTGAAAAGTGGCGCCTGTTGTTCAAGTTTCACTGTGTATTCTGAAGAGGTTCGCTGGGTTGACCATTCCATTCATATGGAAAACAGCACAATTTAAGAAAAATTCTAGGAGGAAGCTGTGTCAGCATGCATAGGCTGCAAAGGAACAGGTAAAAACAGGTAGAAAGGAAACACAACATTTCAGCTCCACAGGAAGCGTTTCCTTTCTTTTCAGCATGGAATAAACCCATTACCAGTTCCTTTACAATTTCTGAAATATACTTATGTATAATTTCTTCAGCTTACTGTAGGTTAACAATGACGAGAAAATATCTTCAACAAACAGAAGTTGTTAAAACATAATGTGTACCTCTACCCTATATTTTTGTAAAGATACAGATTGAAACATTATACATTTGCGATTTTAAATAGCCAACAATCAGACCCTGACATCAACTGAATAACTCACTGCTGGGCTGATCTCTTTGCTAACAGACTGAGTCCTGCAAAGGAATAGAGTCTTCAAACCCAGTACAGTGAAGACAGGCCTGAAAGTATTAACAGCGTAGGGACCTTTGACGTAAATTCTGCCTTGTTTTAATTGCCAGTTTATATACTTTTTCAGGAACTAAATATGAACCTAAGGAACTTAAAAAGGGAAAAAGACAAGATTAACATTTTAGGTCTAAAATTAGGCTTTATAGTTGACAGCAACCTAAAAAACTATATAATATATACTAGTTAATATAAGACCAATGCAATACACAACATTGGTGGTCTAAGGATGGACAGTGTGGACAGGGATGAAACCAGTGATCCAAGGCGAGTCGGGCACATGACTGGGAATGCCACTGACCCTGAAGAGGAAAGTGTCAGAAAAGCAGAAGAGAACCAGTAGTTTTCCATTTACATGCATTTGGTTAGGACCAGCCAATCCTGAGTCCTCCTTTAGCTGGCAAGCAAGACGTGGAGCTGTTCGCCAAGTACATTTCCAACTAGAAACATCATTCCTGCTCCCCATGGACACTGTGAAGAGCACAGGCGCTCTGCACTCTCGACTCAGACCGGGCCACAGCACACGTAATCCTGGATGCGCACAGGCAAACACGGGAAGATGAAAACACTGGTTTCCAAGGTGATGTAAACAGAATGGAAACAGACCAAAGGAATGCCTGGAATGCTGGTTTCCAGCGCATCATTCCTTCCACACCCCGGGCAGTGCTGGATTCGACACATCAAACCAGCTTCCCACTCTCTGGCGAGTGAAAAGCAAAAAAAAAAAGACTCCTACCAATGATTACTGTTACACCACCCCAGAAGTCATAACAGGCAACAGGATTCGGCTGGCATTATGCCATGCACGGACCCAGGAGAAAACTCTCTCTCCCGTCCCGTGCCGTGTGGAAATATTGGAAAGGCCGACCTCCCTCTTCAAGCGCACATGGGAAACTGGCCGCAGGACGGGTGGAAGGGTAATCAAATCGACACCTTCCAACCGCATCACTGCCGCCCAGCGAAAACCAAAGACAATCCAAAATCACTACAACTGATCGGCTCCGTGAGAAGTATCATTCACAGCTCGTCTGCTCCTTCCAGGAAAAATTCACTCAAGTAGACAGAACCCAGCCAGGGCTTTGTTTGAGCAGTGAACACTCATGCACATGTGTGGAGTAGCAGTCAGAGTTCTGGACTTGTACCTTGGAGGTTGTGGGTTCAAATCCCCAGTTGTACCACTGATCAAGGCACTTCACCTAAATTACTCTGGTAATTACTCTCTACACCAAATTACCACCTAAATGGTTGCTCATTTAAGCTGCTTCAGATAAATATATCAGCAAAATGAAGTAGTAATATGGATGAAACAGAACAGAGTCATGTGTTGACACATTATAAAAGAGGTGAGTGATCTATACCCTTCGTTGTGAGGGAGATACTAGAAAATAATTACAGCAAATACATTAATTGAGACTGGATGTCACTTCAATAACATATGAATATCTTATGCATTTCTCCAGAGATCTTATGTCATTGTTATCTCAGCTCTAGGAGGAATATAACTTATAATTTACCTTATAAGAAACATAAGAGCCTATCATTAAACATGCAATTACAACACAAACTAGGAAAATACACTCTATCCTTTAAGTGTGAATAATCTCAAATTATAATTATGTGCAACTACACAACTTGTAAGAGATGCTTGTCATACTGTACACTGTAATTACAATGTAAAGTGTTTGTACTATTAAGTGTTTTGTTACAAAACCTTTTTGCTCATGTACTGAGACCAGAGCTATGAAAATGTGCAAAAATAATCATTTTTATTATTAAAATTATCTGTTGTTACAGGGAAGTTACTCATTACATGCAATACATGACATGCATTTGAGGTGTGAAGCCTGGTATTCTTTACTACTTTTTTTCTAACAATACAAATGAACTGCTTGGATCAATTTTCCCTTTTCCAAGCACAAAACACAAAGCAGGTGGGAAGCAGAATCACAGATATGCAGCACACAAAGAGAGAACAATTCCAAACCCAGTTTTTTTAAAATAAATATAATACTCTTATAGAAAACCAGTACCAAAATATATTTAATTTTAAAAAGCCTGCTACATTTAAGTATTTGGATTAGATTCTGTGCATTGCACAGCAACAAGTCAATAAGAGATACAGTTTATCTACATTAAATTTGTTTCAGTTATAAATGCATACAGTACAACTTCAGGATGTGTTCGTGAAGTAACACTGATCCTCTTTTACAGGCAAGTAAAATACTCAAAGTCAGAGGTCAGAGCCACTTCTACTCTATCAACTACAACCCAGCAGAGAATTAAAAATGACTGGTATTTACAGTGCTGAAAGCAATGTCTGGTATAACTTTACAGAAACCTGTCTTTAAACTCTTCAAACTCAGTATCCTGTAGAAATGCAACACTTTTCAAATTGAAATGGAATTTTGACTAAATCCCCTATGGTCAGATATCGGTGTTTATTTAATGCATAAATAAAAGAATGGCATTAAAGCTGAGGAGGCTATTTTTATCTTAATACTTATTTTTGTCACAGTCAATACATATTTTCAATCCCAGATTTTTTGTTAGAACAACCTTCAGCACTTAAAGGAGTCAGAATCTTGGAATTAACACTGCTCAACATCTCATATCCCTTTTTTCCTGGGAAAGGCCTCTGATCAGGGCCCTAGGCAGTTGTCAGTCTCTTTAAAAAGCAGGCAACAGAAGGAAAGTTGCAGATCTTCAAAGATTTAGTGTGTAACCCGCTTCATTAATGCATTCAAAGAGCCTGGAAAAACAAATCTAATCTATGCTATGAGCAAAACAACACAATTCATTTTTACACATTTCCAGGTGAATTAATTGAACATTAAGGAGGCGCATTTTCCATAAGAGCAATATGGACCACGATGTTTATGTTCACAAAGCCGGAAAGAACATACTAACACAAGAAACTCTTCTAATGGGATGGCAGGATCTCATCCAGCTGTTTCTTGAAAGAAGCCACGGGTCTCAGCTTCAGGAGTGTGGCTGGGTACGTTGTCCCACAAACCTTTGTGTAAAGAATTGACTCCATGTCTCTTGGAGGTACTGGTAGTTTCCACTTGGTTTGCCCTTGATTCGTGGTAACTTACTTGCCAAAGGAAATTAGGTGGTTCTGATATTTTAGGATTCTGTTTCTTATTTCCAGTTTCAGTTTGGTTATGAAAATAATACTTAAATCTTTTTAAATAAAGCCCAGCAAAACGGAACAAATGTCAGGATCATCTTTCGGAACATAGGGGACTCTCCTCTTCGGAAATGTCTGAAAGCAGTCTTAATGGTGCTCAGCAGTTTTCAGTCTGTATTGCTGAATCGGGGCTCTCTAGATGGTAGCGTCACCCAGAGGTAGTGTCAGTGGGTTGTGTTTCCCTATAAAGTGTTTTGGCATTGATGGTGCTTGATCAGAGATTTTCTTTGAGCCGAGATTGCTGCCCATAGTCGACAGAGCATGCCACCCCTGAGAAAAGAATCATATTATTTGGTTACACATTACAAGAGTGCACAGCAGATTATTAATTAAAGACATTGGTACATGCTTTTGAGATTATCAGTTGCCACAATAGACAAGATGAGTTTGTGTTACAACAAACCACAGAAGATGTGCTGATAAATAATGTACCTGCTGTACTGTACATGGGGTTGCTACTATAATCCACAAACCCATGAATCTCACAGAACTGGATCTTAACCTAGTGTTGATGGTGTTAAGTGAACCAAACATCTAAGATTCCTGGCCAAGATTTTGGATTAGCCCCCTGGCAGAACAGGTACTTTTATAAAGTTGATTACCATAATAAATCAGTATTTATAGTAAAGTAGTACAGCATTAGTGGCATCACAGTATAGTAGCACAGTAGGATAGTATTTGGCTTCAATATGTAAAGCAGTGCCTATATCAGAGCATTGATGTGAAGACCTGCTGATGATGGGTCCAGAGCCCCAGTTCCCCATCCCCATCCCCTACTGCCCCCCAAAAGATCCAGAAAAACAAAATTATTAAAATTAGAGCCCACCGTATCCCGGAGTATTTCAGGTCATCCCTTGAAGCAATATACAATAGGCTTTGCAGAGTGAACCCATGAGCAAGTAACTGAAAACACAATGGAGAAATGGGTCAATTTTGATCCTCTGCGAAAGAAAAGTATCCTGCAGTGAAAGCCATTCGCAGCTAGATGGGCACACGCGTAATGTTATTTACATTTTAACTACTGAGCACAAATATTTGCTAATTGTTCCAGAAATTGTATTCCAGAGGATAATATAAGGCTTAAGCTCAAGTCATGCAACTTCTTAATAACAGCAGGTGCCTGATGTCTCAGTGAGGGGCATTCCCGATGAGCTCGTGATCACTCAGGATTACAAATCACTTAATTGAGCTACCCAAGAAACCGAAGGAAATTAAACCTCTCTTGTATGGGGTAAAAAGACACATCCTCTCAGTGATCATTTCTGAATTTCAAAGCCTCCCTCGTGCACAAGTCTGAATTTGAGCAGCTGGCCCCCTGCAGAATAATCAACGGTTATTAATGGGAGTGTCAGAAAGCTGCATCCCCACCTGCTCTCTGCACATCATTAACTGGTTCCCCTGTTAAGAGCTGTTCAAAAAGAACATTCTGAACCAATAAACTATGAAACACCCTGTGACAAGGTTCTTAATGACAACATATCTATAGTGTTATTGCAGAACCGAGTCAAAACAATTTAAATAAAGGTCTTTTAGTAGTAGAAAGTAGTTTAATTAAGGAGCTAGGGTAGCCTCTGCAATTAAGAACTGGAATAATTATTCAGCTGGAATAAAAACAAACAGAAGACACAGGGGCACTCTAAAACAAGAGAGCCACTGCTGTTAATAACTCCAGTAGCTGCAGCGCTTACAGACTGAGGGCATGATGTCTTTACTGAGGTCCTTACCCTGTCTATGGTGTCTTCATTAGTCTGAATGGACCGTAACCAGCAGATCATTGCTGTACTCTCAGCATCTGCTTTCTGGTTTTGGTGATGAGGGGAGATGGAAGGTATATCTGTAAACAGATAAGATGTTTTATTGCTCACAGATTATTTTCCTTTTACCAAATGAGGTCTTTAGGTGGAAAAGCCTGTTGGAACATCTTGTGCAAAAACATTATCCTGAGATAATGACCTCTAGCTCCACAGCCAAACTCCTGGCTTCTCCTCAGGAAGTATATTTAACCTGCCGAAGCCATGGTCTTGTTGCCTGTGGTCTGTCAAACCTGAACTGAAAAGTACCTGAAGGCTAAGCATTACACATCTAATCACGGACAGAGGAGGCAGCCAATACAGGGATGGGTGTATGGTACAGTAATACAGAAGGTGTGTTGATAACAGGAAAAAACATTTCATCCTATAGCGCAGCACACATGCCTGTACCTGAAGATTTCTTCCCTCTCTACTCTGACTGTACAATAGGTCTGCTAGCAGGGCTAATTGTTTTGTCTGCTTCTCCTCACACGCCTAATCCTGCAGGAGATGATTCATCCAGCACTCTGATCCCTACTGTTTCTTGCACAAGCACGGATCTGTCTGCCAGTACTCTTCCCCTTGACAGGGAAAATCCCATGGTTTGGCTAGAGCAGATAGTCAGAAAAATCACAAAATTCCCCACTCCGATAATAGAGAGGCCTAAGTGCCTTTTTTTAAAAATGTGACCCATCTGAACATCTGAGGACCTCACCTACTGGGGAAGAGGACTTTCTGATTTTAAGAGCCTCAATCTCCTTCTCTTTCCTTGAAATCAACTCCTTCAGCAGGTCCAGGTACTCTTGCTCCTTCTCATTTAGCTGGGCCAGCAGCCTAGAACACAGATCCAGACAACAGTAAAGCCATATTCAGGATGGGAACTGCATTACGAGATACACATGCAAGCGTAGGTCTCGTGTTGTTGCAACCCCCTCTGCTGGTCAACAGATCATAGCAGTCCAGGAATTAAGATGGAGTTCCTAGTCTGTTCTGAGAAACCCAATCCTTTGTCAGGGAGAAGGATTACTATGCCTAGTCCCTCGTACTTGATAAAGCTTAGATGATCTCTCACAGTCTTCTTGAACCACATGACTTGTGAGTTGGGTCCAGATTCTCGCAGCCCTCTTTATGTAAACGTCTTTGCTAAAGAGGACCCGAGTCTTATCATCATCAGTTTCTGGGTACTCCCCTGTGCCAGAGCTGAAGCCCAGTCGTACCGGCTCGTCTCCGCGCGCAGCTGCGTCAGCCGCTCAGCCAGGCTGCAGCTGCTGCCGTGCTGGAGCCCACTTGCCAGGCGGGAGCTGAGGGAGGCCCAGCCCGAAGCCTGCGCTCCCGGCGCCTCCCGCTCCTTGCGGGAGTCGGCCCTCCCCGGCTCCTCCGCTCGGGGGCTCTCCTCTCCCGTCGACTCCTGTCCGTCCGTCTCAAACGAAGACTGCAGCTGGAGCCTCAGCTCTGAGGAACAAAAGACTTTGTTGCCACGCACCGGTCTCCAAGACTCTCGACACGTAAGGCTTGTATCCCGCTCATCGGTCCATGGACATCGCCCAGCTGTTGCTTGAGAAATCGGGGGCAGCTTTGACACGTGGCTGGACAGCTTGTTCCCGACTCCTACAACCCCTTCAGCGCTTCCTGTCCACCTCTCTAAATGCATTTCCCCATAGTTCCCAGGTGGGTCCTGTGGGTGGCGTTTCACTGAGGCTTCTAAAATAGACCACTGGGATGACTTTGACAATGCAAACACTGTTACTCTCAAGCTACGGTAACGCCCTGCAATTTAATATTTAACTAAACCGAAAAGTCCCCCCCTCCTTAACGAACAAAGGCCATTCTATAAATATGAGAGCAGATTCATTAAATTTTTAAAAAGCCTGGGTGCTTCTAAAACAGGATGCGTTAGCGGCAGCGATGTATTAGTCAGGAGCTGCGAATGGCCTCGAGCCAGTAGAGCTTGCAAACAGACCTGGCAGGAGGACAGTGATGGAGTCCTGCACAGCCTGCCTCACCAGGTTATCCAGGGCAAATATCCAGTGCGGCTTCACGTTCTGTCTCTTCAGGACCTTCCGGACCTGGAGGAGAGACCCGCACAGATTAGGGCTGAGCAAGACCTTTCTATCACGGCTTGAGCCTGGGTTTAATTTCCTTTTCTCGTTTTGCCTTTTTTTTTTCTAGAAAGAAAACCCAGCAGCAACAGGAAATTACCTGACCTTTAAAAACACATATTTTCAACATGAGTGGTGAAGCAGTCTGGTTTACCGAGAGTACCACAACATTACTGAAGGCGTCTACAATGAGAACAGGCCCTTCCACCCATCTATTTCAACTTTTTAAACAATCCTGAATGATCGATATTATTGGCCCTTCTATTACTTGGTCAACTGTAATGACATTTCATTTTTTCAAATGTTTTTGGACATAGTACAGCAGAAACTGCACTATACAGAATAGACCCAAACAAGAAATTTCTAACTCTGTAATGACAATTTATTCTTAAGCTGAACGTAAATGCTTTCACTGGCGTTTTTCTTCAGATAATCATTTTCCCAGTACATCCGCAGAAGGAAACTCACAGCGTCTTGGAAGCTGAACAGCACCACCTGCAGGTGACCGAGTGGAACGCCAGCTGACAGGAGGCTCATCCTGAGCTGCTTCAGGTTGCTGGTGAGGTTCTTCCTGTTGGGACAGCGGATGTTCTCTCTCAGGGAGGTGATCAGCTGACAGATGTGCTCTGCTGTGACCTGAGGCCACTCAGGGTTCTGCATACGAAGCAGAAGTTGTTTATCAACAATGTTCTCCTATACAGAAGCTCTCATAATGTGCGATTCAGCGTAAAACTGCTTCCTGTGTGCTACTATCTCTGGCGACCCTAAAGTACTCCCAAAGAAAAATGAACAAAGAAGGAAAACCGAAAACTTTGTCTTTGAAATTAGAATAGGCCTTTCTAAAAACAAAAACAGAGAATAAGAAGAGGTTTAAAGGAAAAAACAAAATGATCACAGGGAAGGCCAGACAAAGGGCTGCGTGCAGCCTGTTAATACAGAGCATTATTAAGAGACAGTGTGCAACACTATCGATGCGTGCACGTGTAAAAGCTGCTGTGCTCTGTGTACCTGGCTCAGGGACAGCTGGATGTTGCTGACCACGTTGTTAACATCCTCCGTGAGGATCTGATTCAGGGTGGCCCTGCGCTCGCTGTCCTTCCTCAGCATGTACAGACCCTCATTCTCCCCCAGATTGGATGGGCTGCCCATGTCATACAGCTGCTCCTCTGGCACCCTGCGGAGGGGAGACCGAGCACAACACTGGGAGTCACTGGCCCATGCGGAGAGCAGGAGACGTACAATCTCAGCACACATCTGCCCTTAAAGCAAAGGGTGCTTACTGCAAAAGCCCTTTTGCAAATCATACACACATTGCTTCATAAAGCCCACCTTTGGACTCATTTCCTTTACTTGCATCACAAATCGATCCAACACAACATAAAATCAAAGCTGTCCTTCGGAGCAGGGCAGGGCGGTCCTCACATGAGAAATCCGTTGCCGGGGGAGCTGGCAGTGGCATTCGTGGGAGTATTACTTCCGCACTGGGCAGGCCTGGTCCTTCTCAGGTCAAAGGAGCTGGACAGGTCAAGCTGTTTGGTGGCACCGGCGCCCAAGTGCGTGGCTATGGGTACAGACATGCTCCGCTGATAATCTCCTGGAAACAAAATACTCAGATCACCTGGATGTTACAGCCTTCTTATATGAGTGCTGCATTCAGCACCACACGCAACAAGCATCTGTGTCTCTACTTCGCTCACAGAGACAACCCCAGCCCCTCTCACAGGGAGAATGAGTACAGACAAGTCAGACAAATCTTGCCCCTTATGGAGCCAGTCATCTTCTGACACACTGCAAGCTCCGTAGCGATGTGCAGGAAGGTGAGTGCTGATTGGAGGAGAGGCGCAGCCCTCACTGACATCACAATGAACCTGCAGGTACCCAGCCTCAAACTCGTCAACATCTGGATCCCAGGGTTCAATGCACACTCCAACCTTAACCGGATGAGGCACTAGGGAGCCCCCAAAACCAACGGATTTAAAAACCAGAATTACCCAGGGTATGAAAACAGCTTTGCCAATAGAGGAAAGTTTGTTTTTATTTTATTCTAGAAAAATACTTCTGCTATAAAAGATCATTCTCTCAGAGTTCCTAAAATGACTTTCACCTAGATAAGTTCTAGCTACTAGAGTGCTTTCAATCTTATGAAGTTCCCTCCCTGGAAAAAGAGACACTGCACCTGCTGATCCGGCTTCAGTCTGGGATGAGCCAGCGGCAGTTTTGGTTTTCTTCCGGCTGTGCGCCTTGAGGAAGGGGTCCATGAGGAGCTCAGAGGCTGTGGCTCTCTTGTCAGGGTCCGGCTCAAAACAGTGCAGCATGAACTCCTTGGCCTCTTCAGACATGCATTCGGGCACACTGGGGTGAATTTTAAACATCCCGACCTGGAACAGGAGAACAACACTGTATCACCGAAAAAACTCCCACACCATCAAATCCAACTTTGCCTTTTGTAAGGAATGGATTTACTGCAAATGTCCTTTAATAATTTACACGTGTAGCAGCAGTGTAACTAGCTCAAGCATAGAACAGGTACTGTACGTCATGTTTAAAAGGAGGCACGTTCTTACCTTAAACATGGCAGCTTGGGGACTGCCCAGCTCGTGAAAAGGGGGCTTCCCTGTGGCCATTTCAATAACGGTGCATCCCAGCGACCAAATATCAGCTGGCTTTCCATAGCCTCGAGGACCCTGGTCTATGATCTCTGGAGCCATGTACTGCAGGGTGCCTAAATCGAGCGTGCATGGTCAATCTTCACAGCAGCGCGGTTCGTTTCATTCCAGGGCTGACCAGGTGCACGCGTTCCCCCTACCTGTGAAGGTCTCCGTGCAGGGGTTGATCCCAGCCAGCCTCTTCGAGGTCCCGAAGTCGGAAATCTTCAGTACCCCGTTGTAGGTGTTTATCAACACGTTATCACCCTGGACCCAAAACAAAAAAAA